CTTTGGCTTCGGATCTGATAATCTGTCACACGATTTTTCAATCGATTGAGGAATTTATGGAGTTTTTGTAGAAACTATCTAGGGAGCTTTGTGGAGACCTTAAAATCGATCAACATTATGTGTCCCTTCCCTTGAATCATTACATTTTCCGCCTTCAAATCTATGAGACTATTCCTAATCCGTGAAGATAGTCCAATGCGAGTACGAAATCCATGGCTTAAAATCTGGAGGAACAAAACTAAGCGCAATTACAGTCATTATAAAAAAATCTTCAAATCCAAAAATACTGAAATTTACAGATAAAAGACTAACCATTTTCAAACCAATTCAAGAAATGCAAAAAAAAAAACTCGTTCAACCCAATTAGATTTCACATACAATTAACCATGCACAATACTTCATCAATCAATTACTACTTCATTACATCACATCCCAAATTTTGTCAGAACCTGCCCACAACCCTTTAATAGTCCCACTTGAATGAAGAAAATTGAAATGGGAGAAGAAAGTAGATGCAACGAACAAAATTGAAATAAAAACCATAAGAAACGTGATGGTCTGATTGATCGTTCACGAAGGTCTCAACGGTATGCTACATCTGCAATAAAGAAAGACATATGAGGACGGGTCAAATCGCATATATACCATACAGATTACTTGAGGGTGAGCGGCTAGGCTGCGATGCTACAAGACGGCGGCAGCGGACGTGCGGCGGGATGAGGAGTCGGAGAATGGCAAGCACCCCTGCGATTAATTATGGTTGGATAAAAGAGGTGGAAGGTTAGGGTTTTATAAGTATAACCTAAAGGGTATATTAGTCCATAAATATTATATATTTATTAATTAATTACGAAATTAATTAAATTTAATAGATTTAAATATTATTTTGGGGAAAAAACTAGTTAGGTCATAGATTGGAAAGGTGAGGGAGTTTTAGTCATATATGGGATAATTATCTCAAAATTATACAGTATTTATTATATGTAATCATCATCTAAAAAACACCTTAACACTTGTATTCAAAGGAATTAAAAGTGAAACGCACGCGGAGTATTCTTTTACAATTTTACCATTTGGCACCGTCGCTGCACTGGAGTTACGTTGGTTGAGCAGGAATATGGGGCATTTGTTTTTTATTATTGGGGGCAATTATGTAAACTAAAAAAATTCATAGTATATTTTACGTGATTGTTGATACTTTATTGGGGCAGCTGCCCCCTATAGCTACTGCGTGGATCCGCCCCTGATTTCAATATTAGTGGAGCAACAAAATAAATAACATTACCTTGGAAATACTGCCTCTACAACAAAGTGTGTTATAGGCTCTCTCATCTTACCCAATTTTAAAAACAAAAATCAATGATTATATTATAGTTTAGTTCATTTAATACATATTCGGAGTTGAGGTTGCCTTGGATAATAGTATTAAAGTATGGGCCTATGGGGTTGTCTAGTAAATATGTTAGAATCTTAGCTTGAGGAAAAATGTAAGTTTAAAAAACAAAACTCAACGATTATATTATACGTAGTAGTTTAGTTCATTTACATATTCAAAGTTGAAGTTGCTGTTTAGGCAAGAAATTAACAATAATTTCTTCTAACAATTAAATAAATAATTGGGAATCGCACAAGAAGGAACACAAAGAATTAATAACCGGAAATTTATATTAATGAATATATCTCTGAATACAAAAGTAATAGTGAGTTTTTGATTAAGAATGATCGTAAATGATTGCCCTTTTTTCCTATGATTACAAATATATAGGATTATCACTCATGCTCTCAAATTGATGGAATAGCCTTCCCATAAAAGTGGAAATTCTCCTACAAGTCAGGAACTAACCGACCCATCATCTCCATTTTGTTGCTAATTAGCTGAGTGGCCTCCATATTATTAGCTCACATTTTGACTTCTTCCCATTCTTCTAGCTCAAACCCCATATTTGTTGAATTAGTTAGGATTATCATAACCAAATGTGATCCGAATGATGTTAACCACCCAACTCAATCCAATTTGCTAATTAATCAAGGACAATAATAGTGTAACACCCCCAAATTTCCCACCCAAAAATACATTTGAATAATGATTTATTCAAAGTAAATAATGATTTATTCGAAAACATCAGAGTCTTGCAACGGAAAATCAAAGGGAAACTGGGGCGTTACCGCCACACTCGGCTCTCACATAACCGAGTGCACAGGCTATCCACCACCAACATGTTAAAATTTTTCCATAATTAACTGTTCAACTACAATTCTTTAAGATTAAGACTACAATAAATTACTCAATCACTTTAGTCTATGTGTTCTAGCGGAAGTTCTCGAAATCAACTTCAATATGATCCTCAATTCCTGCACAAATAAGGTATAGAAAGAAAAACACGAAGAAACAAAAATTAGCTGGAAATGCTAAGTAAGGCCCACCCAACCCTGTAAAATAATCATGTTTGATACATATATATCATTTTGTGAAAACATTTGGGAGGAAACCTCATGAAACATTTTATACAAACTTCTCATCACAAAAATCACATGTAAAATAATAATATTCCAATTCATAATAATTCTAAAAGGTCAATATACATAAACCACCAAAATCCTCGTAATTATATTCCAAAACATAAATCATATGTAAAGCCCAAATATTCATCTCAAAATACTTCCAAATTCACATAATCAATATTCAACATAACCATATCAAATCAAATTAATAAGTATTACTTTGAAAATCTTTAAATAATTTAATAATCTCAACCACATCAAATTCAATCCAATCCAAACAAATATAACCCACTCAAATAATCCAATATAATGTAGTTCAATTCATCTCCATCAAGTCCAACCAAATAATCCAAATCATCTCAAGTTCAATCATTCAAACTCAACCAAATCCAATGGAAGCCGAACTCCTACCTTAAGTGTGCACACCCCCTAAAAGAGATTCCAAGCTCTCTGGGTAGTAAAAAGTCCGAGTAGTCGGGATTTTTCTACCGACTACTACAATTAAGCTGGGATGCTCCGCTTTTGGGAGATCCCTGGTGGAATTAGACTTATAGTCATTACCACTCACCAAATCCACATTTCTCCGAGTACTCACAAAATCATAATCCAATCTCAATTTCAAGTATCATAACCTCAATCAAAATGGATATGAAATCCGAATTCCACAAAATTATTCACAATGAAATTATTAACTCCAACTCATCATACTCAAATATACCATAAATAGTCCAAAATATAGGATACTTCATAAATAGCTCGAATCTCAAATCTCAATCGAATAACAATTCATATGTAAATTCAAATGCTCAAAATATCACCCAATATAAAATACTCAAATCGCAAATATATATAATTCACAATCACAATTGATACATAAAATCTCATTAACTATCATATACTCAAATGATCTCAAATAACTAGTCACAAATATATTTATATGGGAAAAGCATGAAATTTGGTTGACATAGTACTTACCTCGAATCGGGATAAATCCTAATTGAAGCTCCTACCTTGATCTTCTCCAAATTCACTTTCTAGAATATTAAAATTCTAGAATTAGTGTTACATTCTATTCTTGCTATTTTATCGTATTTCCCACTTTGTTAAACAATTGAGTAACATTATTATAACTAAATTGGCTTAATGCTCATGATCCTTACTGTTATAACTAAATCTTATTATTTTGATATGTATTCGGCCAGCCAGAATTATCACTAAATCAGTCCATCGGCCCAGACTAGAATAATAATAGCCCATATTATTATTATTATTATTTTTTCTTTTTAATGATATTAGTTAATTAATTATAAGGTGCAATGTTTAATGTAAGCCTAGCCTGAAAAATATGTCTGTGTAAAACCAAAGAGCGACGGAAGAAAGATGAAGAAAACATACGCTTCCTTGATCAACACCGGCGAGGTAGGGCCATGCGACAGTTGCAGCGACGAGGTCTTCTTCTGACGACAGGAAACAGAGAAGATGACGGTGGCTGGTGGTGACAGCCGTTTGGGCTTCTTCTTCGTTAAACGGCGTGAACCAGTCCGGCGCTACCAGCCTACCACCGGGTTTCTTCTCCGGCGAGTCCTCCCACTTCTCCTGCTTTCAGTGGCGTCTAGATACAGCTTCCCAGGCTCCCTTAGACCTTCGTTCCTATGGGGGTTTAGCGCCGCAGCATCGACCCGCAGTTCCGTAGTAACTCTGGCGACGAGGATAAGGCACTCTCGCGATGTTGGGTACCAGTTCTTTCAACGGTGATCCCCTTACTGCCACTCTCCATAACTAATGACTCAGATAGAAAAGTGTGGGTGTGGGAAGTCCTCTGGTTCTCTGGTTATATGTTTTCGCAGGGAAGTAATTTATATATACACATATATGTAAATATGTAGTTGTATATGCTACGTATATGAATAAGCAGGTCGCTGGTTTACTCGTGGTGCAGAACAGGAACACGTAGCTGGTTTGCTTCGTCATTTGCATGTTTTGGCCTCTTCCAATTACTGATCGATCTAGCATGTGCGATTGTTAGTTATTTACTTTGATGAGGCGTGTGAACATGTATAGTCCACAAGGTTCATTGTATTATGCTACCCATATTATTACGGCCGACTACTTGTCTTATAGTAAGTACATGTGTATATTTTTATTTTTATTTTTATGGGTATATGCTACTTCAATTCGTATGACTCGTATCATGTGTGCTACTTCTTTTAAATTTGTTATTCTTGTATTATATTTTAGTGTATTTTTGTGAACATATTACTGACTGATTCAAATTGTTAAAATGTCACTTTTATTATTGAAACATTTTTATTTGATTAAAAATGTCACTGATGTTAAAATTTTATCTGATTCATTTCATTATTAAAATGTCACTTTCGTAACATTTTATCTGACTAATAAAATTATTTATCTTATTTAAATTTTTCGGGTCACAAATAGCCTTTACTTAATTCATGTCCCAACAATTGCCCCCTTTCGAGAAGTTGGGGCGTAGGGGTGCACACATCAATCCGTCAAGCATCAACTTTTCGAAATCTTGAAAGAAACTACACTTGTCCTCCTCAAATATTGCACATGTCAACTCGTCACCAGTTTGACAAGACATGTTGTCAACCCGTCACTCGAATGACAAGACGTTTCTATCGATCCGTCATTTATCTGGCGAGATGCATTCTTCAACTCGTCGCTCGTCTGACGAGACGACTTCTGTCAATTCATCATTTGTATGAGGAGACGCTTCTATCAACCAGTCACTCGTCCGGCAAAAAGCTTTCGTCAACCCGTCAATCTTCAGATAAGACGTTTCTGTCAACTTGTCACTTTCCTTGCAAGTAATTTTTGATCGAATCCGTCTCTTTGACTGAAGCGACGAAAAACGAAGGCTGATCTCATATCCTCTTTCTTCAAATTGTGCTAATGAATCATAACTAGTCAGTGCTGACGAGATGAAACTTCGTCTAGGTTGATGTCGACACTTCAGTTGACAAAGGGATCATCATCCTTCGTTGAAGATGACGAGATGGGTTGTGCGAATTTGGTCCATATCCTGCAAAAACTTTAAATAGTGTTATGTTTTTCGTTTGCACTATCTCCTTATGTTGGAGCATTGTTTCTGTTATGTAGTTCTGTATTATTTGTTGTACGCATGTTGTCATATATGTTTTGGTTGCACGTGTGTTGTCATATATGTTTTGGTTGCACGTGCGTCGTCATATACGTGTGTAGGTTTTGGCCAAAGTATATATGTCGCAAGGGCCAGCTGGGACTGTGATCCATGAGATATTCTCATGGGCAGCCCAGCCCTTTCCCATTTTGATGTCTGTGTAGAGTGCCCAGCTGGTAAAAGCGTGATTGACGCTTTCCAGCCTTCGCGAATTGCCCAACAATTGCTTGTCTTAAGATAGTCCTGCACTCATTACAAACCGTCAAAGCTGGCCGTTGGCTTTGGGCCAACGGCCCTCCGATGGTTAAGTCAGTAAAGTGATAAACCAATCTTTAGGAAGAGATATAAACTTTACACTCAGCACGTCACAACTTTCTTAAACAAGATAGCTATAGAACACTTTTTAAATGAATCAAGAGCTTATTAAATTCAATTTAAATAATGAGAAAAGTTGTTTGAGATTAAAGTCAATGTTCTGCCCAGGATCAAGTCAGTAAACAAGACAAAGCTTCAAAGAGACATACAGGTTGACATTGTCAACTTTCATTACGACGCCTTGACAGATTCGTTGCACTCGATACGTCGTTGGTTTCTAAACTTACAAAGAAATGTGAAGCATCAAAGTAACTTACTGGTGGTGCTCCGCTTGACCTGACGCCTTGTTTAGTCTTCTGCATTCAAAACGTCATTAGGTTCGGTCGTTGGCCTTAAGCCAACGGCCCTCTGACGATTAAGTTAGTGATCATTTATAGATATATGAAAATAAGATATTAAGAATATGAATACCAATCTAGATAAGTTATCGCCATAACATGTCTACCGTAGGACGATATGCCCCCCGTCTGATGATTTCAATCGTTTCATCACCGAAGTGACTTATCACGAAATTGACTCATCGCGGAAATGACTCGTCGCTGAAGTGACTCATCACGACAGTGATTCGTCACGGAAAGGACTCGTCAAGAATGTGATTCGTCATCAAAGTGATTCGTCACGAAAGCGATCCGTCACAGAAGTGACTCGTCACGGAATTGATGACAATATGCGAAAGAAAGTAACAAACTAAAAATGAAACAACTTTTAAGGGTACCGTATTGCAGCTCTTTAGAATATGTCTATCATTGGACGATGTGCCCCCCGTCTGAGATATCAATCACTTTGTCCTGTTCATCTCGTCATGGAATGATGACTCGTTCCTCGGGATCAAACTTGTAATCATGCCTCCTAGGAGATTCTGATTTCCCGTGCCCCCATTCATGCTCAACATGTCCACGACGGGATCGTAAGTCTTCTTCTAGACGGATGAAAGCCAACGCTTTTGCTTGGACATCTTCGAAGGATCGACAAGGGTATTTTGTCAGTTCTCGGTATAGCTCTGAATCTTCATATAAACCTCTTCTGAATGCTTCAATGACGGTATAGACGTCACATTTTGGGATCGACACCTTCTCCTTGTTGAAACGATGAAGATAGTCCCTTAATGATTCGCCTCGTCATTGAACAACTCTGTATAGATCACTTGTTCGTTTCTCCAGAACGCGACTACTTGCGAATTGTTGGTTAAACAAGTCGACGAGTTCTGCAAATGAATTGATCACCTCATTTGGCAAGTTGACGAACCAGCTTAGAGCTGGTCCTGAAAGTGTCCCTCCAAATCCTCTGCACATGCATGCTTCCCTTTGATCTAGATGAAGTGACATGGCCATCATATGTTGCTTGTATTGGGCAACATGTTCCCCCGGATCAGACGTACCGTCAAATATTTTCATGGAAGGGGCGATGAACTTTCTGGGTATCCCGACTTCGGTAATCCGTCTGTTAAATGGAGACTCTTCGTAACATGTCCTTGACGCTCTGTCCAAGGGTGGGGGTACCCCTGGCAATCCGTTGATCTTATCTTGCATCTGACGCATTTGTTCAATTCCATCATCATGGACATTTGATCTGCCACGACTGGGTGAGTTGGTACTCGAGTCGAAGTCATTGGTCTGACCATTTGGGTGACTTTAGGTCGGGTCGGTGACAGAATGAATATTACCTCAGGGCGTCGTTCAGGTAACGCGGGCGCTGATGTAGTGTCAGGTCTGCCAAAGCATTGCGTCTGAAGCTCCAGAAATGACACACTAGGCCCGTTACGTCTGGCATCTTGCATGAAGCTTGACGGACCAAGATCCATGCATGTTCTATTTCTATAGTGAGGAGTTGACGGTTCTGCCGAGACTGAGGTCTTACCCGTCGAAGACATGAAATTGGACAGACCGGGATCCCCACAGGTTCTGCTCCTGTAATGAGGAATTGAAGGTTCTGTCGGGGTAGAGGACAGAGTCGTCATAGGCATGCTCTGGGTCGCCGAATATAGGCCGGACCCGTTTGATCTGACCCGAAGGGATTCCGGAAAAAACAAGCCGGAATATTGGCTGGTGGAGTATAGTAGCCGCTAGGACAAGAGGCGTGTAAGGAATAACCTGCGATATGACCGTCGAGTATGGCTCTCCGGTCGGTGTTGGCGACTGGCCTAGCGTGAGGGAGATTGGATCCGTCGACATTGCTGGTGGATCTGTCGACGCTTCAGGTGGATCCGTCGCAGCTGGGCAGAAACCGAGATTCAGCCTTGTTGCGACAGTCATAGTGTCACTCCTCCGGTGGAGTCTTGAATTTGAAGCTATTGATACCGCCGACTGCACCTGGGATCGAAGCACGTCGTTCTCCGGTTGAAGATGGGCCATCTTCTCCGCCATCTCTTGCCGGATTTCTTCCCTGACCGTCTCTAATTGCTCATGGAATTCAATCAACAATTGATTCGTTCCTTCCAAAATTGATCTTTTTCTTGCACGATGCCCCACGGTGGGCGCCAAATTGTGTAGGCAAGAAATTCACAATAATTTCTTCTAACAATCAAATAAAGAATTGGGAATCGCACAAGAAGGAACTCAAAGAATTAATAACCGGAAATTTATATTAATGAATATATCTATGAATACCAAAGTAATAGTGAGTTTTTGATAAAGAATGATCGTAAATGATTGCCCTTTTTTCCTATGATTACAACCATATATATAGGATTACCACCGAGGCTCTCAAATTGATGGAATAGCCTTCCCATAAAAGTGGAAATTCTCCTACAAGTCAGGAACTAACCGACCCATCATCTCCATTTTGTTGCTAATTAGCTGAGTGGCCTTCGTATTATTAGCTCACCTTTTGACTTCTTCCCATTCTTCTAGCTCAAACCCCATATTTGTTGAATTAGTTAGGATTATCGTAACCAAATGTGATCCGAATGATGTTGACCACCAACTCAATCCAATTTTCTAATTAATCAAGGACAATAATACCCTTTACTTAATTCATGTCCCAACAGTTGCCTTGGTTAATAGATAGTACTATTTAAGTATGGGCCTATGGGGTTCTAGTAAAGATGTCAGAACCTTAGTTTGAGGAAAAATGTAAAGTGTGAGAAATGCTATATCTTTAAAGAATGATTGAAGTATAACAATATAGTGATGTCATTGTACCATATTCATATAGAAGCTTCACTGAGTAAAGTGTAAAATGCAAACTTCCAGATTTTTCTTTGTTAATCTCCCATTACAGAAGTCAACATTGCTATAGACAATCTTTGAAAAAAGATCTCTGAAAAACTAATCGAAAAAAAACTAAGAAGGAAAAACTACTCTAATTTGGTATAAGAATCCTACTCGAATAGGATGTCAAACACAAGCATAAATATTAGAGCCCTTTTGGTGACTTTATTTTTCGATTTATTAGACTTATCGGCTAACTTTTTTGCAAAACACCTAACTTTTGATTTCGCGCACTGAATTTTGTAACAATAAGAAAAAATAAGTTTAGAGTTTATTTTCTAGTTGTATCTGCTGAAGGTACTGTAGATAACATATTTAATTTTTTTGATCATGTAGATGACCTATTTAACTAGTTAAGTTAATAATTAATTGATTGAATTGAGGGTAGAAGTGCAAGGATTAGTCCTATGTAAGGATAACCAAACAATTTTGTCTTCCAGTTGTGCTATAAAAAATCAGACGATTGGGATGGATATGGATCACATCCAACGAACCACACTCCCACACGTACACCTTCCATAAAAAACAAGAATCCTCGTGCAGCTTATTCGACCAATCATAGCATACCTTGGCAAAACCACAATCCGTCTCCCACTCAACCAGCCAACAAGAAGCAAAAAATTTTATCTCACGGATCACGGATGAATGCCATCCACAAATATCTGTCAGGGAATGCACACACACCTGGGGCCACATACACATTTATTTTGGGCAGTACAAATGTTTAAGCAAAAAAAGGATGACACTCCATCCGTGAGGCCCCCCAACACTGACCAGAACAGCGTGACTCTGTCCCCAGTACTTGCAGAGGCCCTATGCATTTTTAGCATAGTAACCTCTCATCGCAGTTGCCGAGATTCGAACCCGAGACCTAACCCATGTGGCACTCCCTTACTACCAGTTGAGCTACGCCCACCGGTTGTAAAAAATATTAGTAAAAATGTTTAAACAATTTCCTTGTTCATATATGTTCCCATCCGAAAATAGAAGAATTAAAAATATGTGTAGAATTTAAAATTCCACTCATCTGAATCCCGTAATATTGTACCCTAAGTCTGGCTCCCGTAATTTGAGGTTGCTTGCACCATTTTCTCGTGAATCCGTCATTTCCTCAAATGTTTGTAATATAAAGCATATATTATTACAATTTCCAATTGTAAAGAATGTATGGTTTATCATTTATCAATTTTTGGGTTATAAATAAACCATTTATAATGAATAAATCAGTAACAATGGGATGTATATCTTCCATTCCAATACATTTCAACATATGTGAGGTCGATCTCCTAATTAATTTTTTTGTTCAAGGGCGGCGGAGGTGCCCGACTTCGGATGCAATATTTCTCGCAATCATCTTTTAGAGTCCAACAATCTCCACCAAGGCAACACCAACAAGGTCCAGTATTGCATTTTTCTTTTCTACAATAATCAACTTTAATCTTCCCACTAATGGCAACCTTACCTGGTAAAATCCATAAAAAGTACAATCACATCATACACACACATATGATGTTCATCACATGAAAATGTGATCTAATGAGAGAAACCAGAATAAATGAGTTAGAATGTTAGATAAAGTTTGGCGTATATGTAATTGAGCTACTCATATCGCATCCCTTCAAAGTTTGGAATAATTAAATTATTTTCCCTTATATAAAATTATTATCCGTCGATTTTATTCACTCACATGTTATATAACCTACTGATGCACTTTTAAATAAATTCATAGGCTATTGTCATTGCATCTTCGTTGAAATATTCGTAAGTACAATTATGCCACCATGTTTTAGCTTGAAAAATAGAATCCATCGTTACATTTTATGGCTAACATCAGCTCTCTTTTTTTGGGATATTAGCCATAAAATGTAACGATCGATTCTATTTTTAAAGCTAAAACATGGTGGCATAATTGTACTTACGAATTGAGCTAGCTCTTCTTTTCACTTTTTTTAATTACATATTTTTTTATTTTATTATATTTTTTTTAAATTAAACCAAAAATAAATAACTAGACAAATCGAAGCGAAGGAATCCCAAAAATATCCATATAATAAGCCCGTTTAAACCAGCTCTTCTTTTCACATATTGAGTATTTTATATTTGAACCAAATTCAACTCACACATTATAGGGTCCGATTGTAATAAAAATCATGTTTCTCATGAAAAAAGGAACGGTTGCACTTAATTTAATATTTATGTCATATGAAGTTCGACTATTGAACTTGCTCAAACTTAGGTAAATGACACTGGATTCCATCAAATCGCAATGACAATTTGGTAAATGAACCAAAATTTTCTACCACATGGAGAAAGTGCAACATATATAGACTTCATAGTTTTTATTTGCTCACATATAAAATTTTGTTAAATAATATATTCTTTATATATGCCAACCTAAGAGGAAGAAATAATAAAAGGGAAAATAGATAGAGACCATGTCCACTTACATTCATAATTGGTGAATAACGTTGAGATAATGAGGCAGAAGATGAGCAGATACTTAAGGTTGAGTGGAGCCATTGTTTATAGCTTGTAATGTATAGGTTTGTGCAAGTATTGAGTTGTATGGGATGATTCTTTGATGAATTTATACACTTCAAAATGAACCTTAGTTTTTGGTAATGTATAACTTTGGTGATCAAATTTATTATAATCCAATCCAATAAATGTATACCCTTTTTAGCAAACAATAGATGTATATCTTTAAAATCTACATGCACCACTTACCTATATTTAGAAAATCACTTACATGGTATCAAATCAAATTTTCTCGCTCAATTGGTGATACTATTTATCGCACTTACTTTTTATATCGGCGTGATTATTAATTGATACTTCGTATATTCCAATAGAACAAATGGCAATCCAATATTATTTTTTCGGACACAATAAATAAATGTAAGTTCCATCATTCGCGATGGAACCAAAAACTCACTATTCTTTTGTTTAAAAATATGATGGAATCAAATAAATGGCTCACTAAACTGTTTGCACTTCTTTGTTATGAAGTAGCAGCCCGTCTGTGCAATTTTTGACGTGAATTCCACTATGGATCATCCGGAAACAACCTTCTGTACTTTAGTACAAGGGTAAGACTGCATACATCCGACCTCCATTTACCTCATCATTGGTGGGAGCCTTTGCGGCACTGGGGTGATGATGATGATGAATATTCCCACCTAACCATACTTCACGAATAAGCCCACATTTGCACATTTGTACTTCACCTTCTTTCTTCGCTCGGACTATTTGATGACCTGCTATTCTAGGTTATTTTTCTTTTTGTTTGCAATTGATTAACGGGCTATGATTTTTCTCCTTCCTAAAAGTTTTTTCTCTTTTTCCTTTACCATCACAATCAATGTTCTAAGAGGCGTAAGGCGTGGTGAGGCGGCACGAGGAAGCCCCAAGCCTCGGAAGCCTAGATCGGTTTAGGTGAGAATTAAGCGTGAAAAGGCGTTTTCTATTTTTTACTTAATATTTTACTTTTACTAGAGCTATTAGCATGTGTTGAAATACAATATTAGATAACAGCATAGTACAATAGTCACAATTTTATATTTTCCAAAAAATAAACTTTAAGTTTTAAACATGTATATACGGAGTATTAAATATACATATTTACCAAAAATAGAAGCGAGAATAAAAATTGAATGATAAAATATCAATAATAACAACAACAACACCAAGAATCTTTCAAAAAACTAAATAAATAATAACACCATGAATAGTAAAAGTAATAATAGTAACTAAAAGTTATAATAGTAATAATTTCTAAATATTTTTTTCAGAAGCTGGAATGGAAGTATTGTATAAGTATGGGTGCAAATGAGCTGAGCCGCTCGAAAGCCCCTTGGTCAAAGCTCGAATCGAGATCGGTCAAACTCGAGCTCGAGCCAAGCTCAATCCGGCTCGTTAAGTCAGCATTGCTCTAAATTATCTTTAAAAATAGATTTATGAAAAACTAATTGGAAAAAATACTAAGAAGGAAAACAGAAAAATATGTAAGATGTAGCTTTTGAGTGTTCTAACATCTAAGCATATCATTTCATCATTTCATTTTCATTTACCCCAGTGCCGCAAAATTAAGGACTAAAATTAAACAAAACAAAAAAAATTGTAAGATGTAGCTTTTGAAGCCTTGTTTGTTCCTGATATAACATACTGTGATTAAAAAAATTTAAAGATCTAAACGGTGTTGAGAGTTATAATAATAACATATGTATTTTTTTTTGGGAAAATTCAAAACTTTATTAAAAAAGAAAGATGTTACAAGGATAAAGAAGATAAAGAAATGCAGAAAGGAAAAAAAATAAAATAATAACAAGTAGCTAAAACCCAACCCGAAGAATAACAATAAATCCCTCCCTAAATAGCTTAGTCCCTCAATCAAAACTTCAAAGCTCCACACGTGTTTGGGACCTAGTCCTCA